ACATGTACCTGTATGAGCAGTTCTTCAGGCAGTCTTAGGAAGTGTGGATTATGAAAATGCATATCCATCTTTTTTGTACAGTTAACACAGTTAAAATTAATTGTATTGATACATTACTTATAATTATTCCACTTGTTATGTCTAGAGAAGGCTTTCCTTAAGATAAAATATAACAATTATCAAAGACTAACATTTTTACAGTATCTAATTACAAGTACGTAATTTGGGGTAATACCAGTTCTACTTCTTCCTCTTTTCTTTTCATGCACATCTGTTGTCTACTACCTGACTACCCACATATGTCCAACCATTCTTCTATTTTTGAATCCAACAATTCTCTACAGCAATACTTCATTTATTCAGACCTTATTAAGCACAGCCAGCTGTTGCTAAGAGTTCTCAAGATAAGTACAATTTGTTCCTAAAATACCAATGTTTTCAAATAGTATATATACATCTCTACTATTTTTAAACAGAACATCTGTTTCTTGATGTAAATTAATCCCAATTATTTTACCCTGGGACTACTAAAATGTATTGGGAGATCTGGGTTTGGGGTTCTAAATTAAGTGGGCTTGGGCAGCTGCACGTTTAGAGTTCCTCTGTTAATGACCTGCAGGTTTTACAGCCTGGCCTTGCTTTCATTTGGTTTGCTGTCACTTCTTGCTGGAGCTCTGAATTCTTGAAGCAATAACCACCTTCTTTTTAACTGCTGCTGCAGTTGGCTGTGGTTTGGGCAACCAGCCATCTCTGTTTGTGAAACCTGATTTGAACAAAAGAATGGACTGCTGGTGATGAGGGACTGAAGGAATAGTGGGGGTGGGGATTAAGGAGTCATTAGAACAGTCGGGTCCAGTTGGCTTTCACGAAAAGTCTTAAGCTGTCCTTTAGATCGTCCAATTGCTGCACAAAGATCACTGGCTGAGAAAAACACTTATGTTTGTTTTCTTCCTACTCATGGGCAAACTTATGAATTGGGTCTACCAGAGCTGATGTTTACACATTACAATTTGTTTACAGTTTAGCTGACATGTCTATGTATGTAGAAAAATTATTAGCATAATTGTATTCACCTAAAGAAGAAAAGCCCACTTCACCAACATAGGACTATATAACAATGTTTCTTCTTCAGTCATTTATGTCTATATTGTTAATATAACAAGTTACTAAAGAAATGAGAAGCTCCTTTCACAAAATACAGAAATTATAATAGTGACAAGTTGTTAAAGACTCATTTTTAATAGTAGAGTAGATATTAATTTACTCAGATTAACTGTGCTTAGGAACTTATTCGACTTTGCAGATGTTAAAAACTGTTATAGTCCTAAACAGAACCTTCTTTTTCCTTCCAAACATTTTCATATTTTATAATAAGTTTTTACATTGGCAGATTATAAGTATCTGTGACAAGCTAATAAACCTAGATTTCCCCCCGAACATATACCTTGTAAAATCTAACAAGTAAAAAGAAAAAGATACCTTTCTTTATGTGCCTAATAATATTTTCTTTAGGCCAAGGACATGCCATCCATGATAATTTGCCTGGCTTTAATACAAATGTTCTAATTATAGTTTATGCTAATTTACCTGTGACTTATCCAAAGGGAAAACTCAAACTCAGGCTGACATTCTATGACCTAAAAGGTCTCTGGCCTTGTAACCCTCCCTGGTAGTCAGTGTGGTATGTTTTCAGAAAATACAAGCTATGTTTATTATTTATTAAAATAACAGAATTGCATACAATACAATCAGATCATCAGCTATTTTGGATTATCTTTATAATGTTCCCTTTCTTAGGGTAGATCAACAGGAATTAGCTTTGGTCCAGTCTTTTTGTCCCAAAGCCTTTTTATATAAGTCCTTTTAATTTTTTTAAAAATTACAAGAATTCCTACCAACAACTTTTAAAAAGTTCACATGGAACTAGAGACAACAGTCCCAAGTGAAATTCTTTCAGTCTTTTTCAGCAACCTTCTAAGACTCATTTTGGGCGCACACTTTGCTTGGAGGTTTATTTGCTTTTTGCAACAGCATTGAAGAGAAAACCAACTGACCATTTACAACCTAAACAATGGCTTCAGGGTATGATTAAGAAATGCACCTGGCCTCACTCAAACAACACGTTTGCTTAACCTGGTGACTTTCCTGTGTCTGGGGTCAGGCAGGAGCAATCTTTGTTGGGAGGAGGAAAGAAGACTAAATATAACTGACTCACTGAGAACAAAACAGTCGTACTAACTGCCCTTTGTAATTACAACTGTTTTAACAGGTTCCAGTGGGCAAGGCTGTCGTTTAAGTGACCACTATAATTTGGGATGAAATCCCAGGAAATTATGCCAACATTAGAACAGGCGTTTCATTTCTGTGTTTGCTCAGCATAACTGACCCACTGAAATGCTGAGTGCTCCTTCTTTGGTATAAATGTAGGTCAAGGGGAAAATTAACACTAGAAAGAATTTAGCCAGAAAAGAAAAGAATATCAGAATGTTTATCCCTAGCAACAAGCCATAGCTTATTTTACTTTTGCATCTTTTTTATTAAGGAAAATTTCAATCTTAGATAAAAATATACAAAGGAACGAACCACAGAAACCCATCACTCAGTTTTGATAATCACCAACACATGCTACATCTTGCTTTACCATACCCTCTGCACTCCCCTCTTTGAATTTTTTTGAAGGAAAATCCTAGACAGCTGATATTTTATTTTACTTAAGATTTCACTTATAATGTACGTGTATATTTTTCTAAAGTTCACTCCAGAAATCTTATTGAGCTTGCGCTGTTTAAGCCAATTTTACCTACATTTTATAAAACTTTTTACAAGAAGACCTGTCTGCCTAGAAAATTAATTTGCTTGAGTATAATTGGGTGATTAAAATGACAAAGTAACATGAAACATAACCCTCCATTATTTAATTATGGGGGGTTGTAGTCTTCTAAGATCCAGAATACAATGCCTGTTACTTTATCCCTGTGGTTCTAATCTTTGCACACATTCCAATCAACAAGAGACAAAACTGGAAGTAACATGGGTAGATTTGCCTGGATGAAGTTTAGGAAAATGGGAGGAGGATGCTACCGGTCCAGGAGCTGCCTAGAATGAAAGTTTCCCCTTTCCTTCACTATGCATATGCAGAATAAAACAGAAAGCCAACAGACCAAACCTTAGGAGCTTCAGAAATCACTCATCAAGCAGTGTAGCTCCTTCCAATACTTTATTACTCATCTTAAAGCAAAGATCAAAAGGAACTTCATCTAGCATTTATATTCAATTCTTCATTTACTGATGACTAATTTGTAGGGGAATGAAATCTTCACAAGAGAAGCCAAAGTAATCTGAGGTGACTTTGATACAGAGCCATGAGGATATGAAGAGGAAGCTGGAAGGAGGTGCAAATGGCTAAGTTCCATTAAGTGTTCTAATAAAAGAATAATGGAATTTCCCTTGACTTGTGAATTTTAAAATTTGCTAGAAGTGCGCAAAATTTAGACAAGCCAGGCAAAACCTTTGATTTGTCATAGCTTTTTGTTGTTGTTAAATGCTGGCTTTAGCCACTACTGCGCTTACGTTAATTACACTGCTTCATCTAAAAAAAAGTGTAACATTCCCATGGAAATCTGGCCAATCTCATTCCCTTTCCTGTGTGTTACTTAGCATGCACCTTCCGGCGGCATTGTGAGACACTCCAGGCTCTCTCAATCTCTTTTTAATTCCTTTATTCTGCAAAGTGAGTGATTTAGCTTGAAAAACTAACTTGAAATAATTTTTAGTGCAGTATTTCATATCACAAGGAACATAAGTGATCACATGGAGAATACCTCTTTTATAAATCTTCTGGTGCTTCAGTCCATTGGTTATTTTAGAAACACTAGAAATTACTCAAATTCCTTAACTTCCATGAACAACTGGCACCATTTTTCTCCCCTGAATCCAGACATCTCTGTATTCTCAGCTGAGGAAAGTAGTTTTCACACTAGTTATTTTGGCTAGTTAAAAAATCCCCACCACATGTCTGCCTGTACATTCATAGATAAAGATGTAAGTTTATATTAGCATTTCAACTGTGCAAATTTTGTTTGCTTGTGAAATCACCTCGAATTAACAGATTTATTGGAACCTTACATGGCATAGAAATTTTCCATAAGTCTCAGAAATCTTGAAATCTATTTTCTCATGAAGATGTGGAAATGTTAAGTATTTCTTAAAAATGGCTCTAAATGTGTGTTTCTTTTTATAGAAGTCTTACAAATATATGGTGAAATACTTACAAGTGAAGATATGTCTGAGAATTTTTCAAAGAGCGTTGGAGAATGTACGGTATAAAATAAAACAAGAATGGCTGTGAGTTTTCATAAAGTAGTAGAATGGGCCCACAGGAGCCATTCTACTCTGTCTTCTGTTCAGTAAAACCTTTGCTAGTTAATATTTCAGATACAATGCTATGTACTGTAAAGATTATTTATTTGGCAAAATAACCATCAGAGCAAAAGAATCAAGATTTGTAGTCAATATTTCAACTGTTCTTACCGATCCAAACACCTACTTTACTATTTACAGTGTTTGAAAAGAAAAAACAAAACCAACTCAAAACGACAACTTTAACAACCACTCCCAAGTCTTGAGCTTTTAGTGACCGCATGTAACTTTTTTTGGGAGGTACTAGGGATAGAACATATGAACTCATACATACTAGACAAGTGCTCTGCCACAAAGCTATAACCCCAGCCCCCTGAAACTAGCTTTTAATGTGAGTAAGATATAACCACCTTAATTACAAATTTTCTATTTTCAAGGGTTGAAAAATTAAAATTAAAATATAAATTAATCAGTAAATGTACTTTAAAATCACCACATATTGATTAAAACTGCTATACATACAGGAAGATATTAGTTTAGAAGACATCTAACTAAATACTAGTCCTATAAGGTTTTGTAATGAAAATACTAATCATCATCAAAAACTAAGACCCAATATATGAATAGAATGTTTCTCTTACCTTGTGATCATATGGATTGTAAGAATGAAATATCTGAGACAGATCTTTTGTCCTTTGCTTTTTCTGTGGAAGAAAAACAAAACACTTGAGTTGATAGCTGGTAAAATGCAGTGAATGTGTACACTCAAAAACTGGTTATAGTAAAAGACACATTGCCATTAATCACCCTCACAATACTCTTTCACTTCAGATAGACTTATGATCAAACATAGGCACGATAAAAAATATGGTGAGCACTGCTGCTCAGTGCCATCCAACAGAAAGACAGGCTTGTAAAAACATTACAGTGTGTCTTCACCCGCCTTATTCACTGAGTCTGGCACTGTGTGGCTTCTGGATCTTCACCCAAGACAAAATAACCATGAAAGGTGTGTGGGTTTGGAGCTTATTTTGCAAGGGGAACAATATCTAATACACGACACACATTTTATTAGATTACTTATGATAGTCACCCAAAGAATGATATACAAAAGAGTGCAGGAAACCTGTCTACACAGTGTAGACCAAGAATCCAGCTAAGGGCCCGGATCCCATGATATTATACTGCATGAGTCCAGCTTAAGACCTAGGGCTCACAACAATGCCTCCCACGAGACCATCTGGAGGCCCCAAGCCCATAACAATATCTCATGCAGGCCTGTTTCATGGATCTGCGCTGGGAGGGCCCAAAGGTCAGTGGTGGAATCTAGGAATTCTGTGCCAGCAGGATGAAGGATCTATGCTAGCAGGCTGAGGGATCTGCACTGGGGCCAGGAAGCAATGCTCAAAGTAAGAACAGAGCTCCCCCAAAAAGTACCACAGCCATCCTCAGCAACAGTGAGGTCCCGAGCTCCTCCAATGGTGAAGACAGCTGAGTTCCCATCAGGAAAGCCAACGCAGCAAGCTTCTTCAGGAGACTGAGCTGTGCACCTTCTTCTCCTCTGAAGGCAGGAAGCGGTGCTCAGAGTGAGGACCAGAGCTCCCTCAAAGGGAACCGAAGCTATTCTCAGTGCCAGCAAGGTCCTGAGCTCCTCAGAGGATGAGAACAACCATGTTCATCAGGAAAGCCAGCATGAAAAGCTCCTCCAACAGAACCAACAGCTCCTTGGAGCCTCTACCATCTCCCAGCAGCCTTTCTCCACCCCCAGCAGTCTTGCCTCTCCTTCTCCAGTTCTGCCTCTTATGCTGCTGGCAACAGTCCCCAGGTGGGCCTCCCACACCCAGCACCATGCTTACTCAGTTCAGCTGGGGATTATAAGCTGACCACCAGCTGTCACTACACTACAAAAGGTAAATGTTTTGAATCAATTCAGGACACTGAGGTAGTCACAACAGCACAACTAAAGACATTCAGGAAAGACTTCCAGAAGTACTTCAGAAAGTGTCAAGAGTGATGGGATAAGCGTGTTCAAAGCGAAGAGGAGTACAGTGGTACCTTGCTTCACAGATGCTTTTGTTTGCAAACAATTTGGTTCACAAACAGAAGCACTTGGGAAAATTTTGGTTTTGTTTGTCAACTCTACACTAGGTAACGAACAGGGCCACAGCCATGTTTCTCACACAAACACAACGGTCTACTGTCTTTTCCAAAATTGTAGAACAAATTAAGTTCATGAACCGAGGTAGCACTGCATTTTGAGGGGGATTAATGGCAATCAATGTGGCTTTTATTGTAGTAAGTTTTTTTCAAGTAGATATTCACCAACTTTTTGTACATGTATCTACAGAAAGATATTATTTATTTAGCATGGTTGAGTGCAGATAAAAACCAAGTCACTTGGTGGTTATGCAGATCATTGTCACGGCACAGCGAGGCAACTTCTTCCTAGGAGGATTATAAAGCAAACTACGTAGTATCAAAAACTCTATTTCAAAATGCAGAGCTCAGACACTAACATGAAAAGACTCAGTACACATTTAGGGCATTTTCGATATTACTATTATACCAGTTGCTGTTACTCAGAGCTGGCACTGACGTGCATGTATTTATGCAAGCCCTTCAAGCTCCTGGGCATAGCTGGCTTGAGCCTGCAGCTGTGAGGACACCTTTGTTGTGTCACTGCTACATGCACCATGTGCCTTGCGTGATGTGTTCTATACACAGTGGGCACTCATTAAATACTGGTTGAATTAGTGGCTTGTTTTCTATCCACTGTGATCTGTCCCCTCCCCACCCCATCACTATGAACAATTTTGTGTATGGCTCCAAATCTTCCAGGTACACACACGCACACAACTGATTATTACTTTGAAAGAAAGGCACTATTCTGAGATAGATAAGAAGCGCCTGACTCTCTTGGCTTTTTTCTTATGACAGGAAGGGCACTGTTTGGCCAAGAGTTATCAAGCCCTCATCCCTGTTTCTTTTGCTCCTGCTCTGTCCCTCACCCAAGGATGGATGAGGACAGCTTGCCTTTGTGTCCTCCCAGGTTGCTTCATGGCTGCTCTCTAGGCTACTCTAAGAGGAGATGTACCTCAGCTGTAGCTGTGGACACCTCTCACACTCCCGCTGCTCCAGATGCTGCCACCTCTTTAAAGAAACACTGGGAAAAAAGCCCTAATGAATCAGAGATCAGGGAAGGATCCAGGCCCATCATTAACATTCCCAACCTCCCCAAGCCCTAATAAGCTGTGATGAAAACTTAGCCCCCTGAATATTCCCTGGTTTCAGTTCTGCCATTTTTCATGAAGATATAACAGTTTTCAATCAACAGCTGGCTTCCCCCTGATATTTGTTTGAACCACTGCTGCCCGAACAGCTGGATCATCTAGGATATTCTGGATCTGCATGGGCCAATCACAGGCCTGCACTTAGATCAATCAAGCAGGCCTGAATCTGAACCAATCAGAGGGTTACACATGGACCAATCACTGGCCTGTACCAGTTACACAAGCCCTGTTCCTGCTCTATGTCTTGGGTTGGTCTAGGAGAGCTCCCTCTGGTATACCAACACCCTGTGGTGTCACATAGATCCTGTTAGAATAAAGATTTGCTCCAATGGTCCAGCAAATCTGTTCATGATATAGTTCTCTGGTAGCATGGGCTTGGAAGATCCTCTAAATCTACTCAGGATTCCTATCCTGAGTAGTGAAGACAGAGAGGCCCTTTGAAAGAAAGATCAATAAATACTAGGAGCTATTATCCCTGAAAAGCTCCAGAGACCAACAGCCAATGAAGATCAGCAACGGAGAGCAGCAACCGTCCCAGTTGATTGATGGTGTGTAACATAAGTCAGTGTCGAACTGCAGATGTGATCGATGGTGTCCAGCATTAAACTGGTGTTCACTGGTGGTATCAGGGATGCTCGCAGAGCTGCATGTTGCTGATTCCCGATTTCTGTCTGAATCAAGGAAAGGCTCCTTTGACTGATGGGTAACAATTCTATATATATTGTTTGGAATTTTACTTTTTTCTGCTTTATACTTATCCTTGCCAAACTTCATGCTTCTGTAAACAGATCTGCGAGCCCTGAGAGTTTTCAAATCTAAAAACTTTAGAAATCCAAACTTTTTCTATGACTCATTTTGATTTTTTAATACAATGACAGTCTTTGCACAAATATTCTTGCCAGCCTGACAGTTTGCATTGCTTTAAAAGATAAATTACACAAGCACAGGTGCAGGATCAAATAGTGTGTATGCTTATTACCTCGGAAGATGGACACTACTCCAATTTGCCCTCACACCCAGAGTGAACAGGAGGAGGAAACTGCCACTTAAGCTGTAAATTCTTAGGAATGTTTCTCTTCCATTTAAAGGTTAGAACATTTCTAAATTTACAGAACAGATGAAACCTTTTTAGAATAGAACATTTTCTCAGCAGCTGATTACAGAATTTATTTACTATAATTAGTTTTTGTCCACCATAGAATTAGTCCAGTACTTCATCTTAAAATCCTGTCATACAAGTGGTCTGTTTGTTCTTAACATTGTTCCTGTCTTGCTTTTGGATCTACTGGGTTTCTTCTGTCTTCACTTCAATGAATCTTTCCCCGGAATCCATGTAGCCCAGGGGAGCATTGCTTACCTATTCCAATGTCCTCAGGGACATGTCTCATACCCTCCTCAATGCCGGAGACCTTAGGGGATCCCCTGGCTTGGGTTTATATAATTCTGTACCTGCTTAGCTAGGCAGTTGCATAGGATGATAGCTAGGATCTTGTGTTAAAGTCACTTGGATACAATCCCAGTTTTTTCAATGACCAATTTCTCTATTTTAGAACTATCTTTGCAGTCACAATCCCACTGGCAGTCTATAAAATCAAGTGGTCCTGTTGTCACATGGTGAGCCTCAGACTGAATGTCATCTCCTCCTGTGGTTCTGCTGAAATTCCTACGTATTCTGTTCTCCTGTGAGTGATGCTTCTAACCATCTGTTTTTTTCTTTTTTGGTACCAGGAATCGAACTCAGGACCTTGTGCTTGCCAGGCAGGCACTTGTGCCCCTGAGCTATATCCCCGGCCACTAACTCTGCTTTTCCCTGGAGAGTAGAGATGCATCTTGAAAATGACTGGAAATAGTTTCCTTGGTTAAAGAAACTTTAGTCTTGTAAGCCTTGGATTCTGTTTTGAATAAGTCACTTGACCATCAAAGTTTTCATTAGCTTATAATTTTTTATTTCCTTTCCTTACACCTACTTAGTTGGCTTACACTTCAATCAGCAGAAAAATGATGAATGCTAACACTTTCTTTTGTAGGAGACTTGATATAACACACTGGAGAAAAAAAAATTTTTTTCCCAGAAAGGAAATTATGCTAGAGAAGATGAAATTTTAGGCAGTAAATCAATATTCACCTTAGGAAGTGTTCCAAGGATTCATCAGTTTCAGAAATGTTGAACTATAAGCTTGAATTGGCAGGTGGATAAGGAATATTCAGAATGTGCTTTCTGTGAACTTTTTATGTGGGTTTTGATTTTATGTCTATATTTTGACATATTTTTCTAGGTTTTTGTTCTCTGTTTTTCCTTTTTGTTTTTGAGATTGAACCCAGGTCCTTGCATATAATACGCATGTGTTCTACCACAAATTGACACCCCCCAGTCCTACACATGCCTTTTCTCGTAAGCTACTTCTGATAATTTT